TTCGCCTCAGCTATAAAAGGATGAAGAAGGATGGGCTCATGGTATAGAACATCCTGAGTAGTCCAGGTTACCGCACCCCCCGAGGCCAATTAATCCATCCATTCGTACCTTCACACATATGTACATACATGCCTACATACACAACTAAATTAATATGTACATAAACAAACACGTTCATTCATATACATGTGCATATATACATACAGACTTACACATACAGACATACATAGACGCACACGTACATTGATACGTGTTACATGCAAAGACAAAACTTAAATGTACCTCTAAGGCAATACGCTATTACACTTACTGGTCTTATACCCTTTACACCCCCTGTCGCCTCCTCACCCAAGCATTTTCCCTGATTTGACAAATCATTATTGCAAATTATTCACTTGTCTTCATCTATCTATTTATTTGTTTTGTAAGTTTTATCTTCTATTTGCGTCTGTTCATTATTCCCGTTTTGATCACAAAACTTTGTTGCGACCAACCAAACGGTCAGCCTGTGGTGTGAAAGGTGCCAGTAAAAATGATCTCACCATTTCTGGGACGCAAATTCTCACCTACCCTCAAAATATACCGACCTCCGAAAAACTGTCAAGTGAAATACGGCTAATGCAGCTGGGTGGATAAAATATCTTCACTAGATGCCATCAAATATCTGAAACCACTTCTTAACATTGAAGTGGAAGTACAAAGTAACTATTCGATTCATATTCGTCTCTTACAAGCATGTTGTTCATTGAATTTCGGTTTCTATGGTACCGGTTCCGGCAGTTTTGAAAATCTCTTCAAGGTAGTTCGGAGTTGGTTACCACATCTTCAGTGATTTTAGCGCAATAAAATAAGTAATCACTACAAAATAGTCCGTGCTATTCATTAAAGTAATTATTATAAGGACCTTTTATCGTATCTCCCTTGCAAACCTGTGAAAATTGTTAGATTTTTTTTCAGTGATTACGCTATTTATGATTTAGTTTGTGCATTGTTGGGTGTAGAATAGTTCAAAACCTTAGATTTTGGTTTAATGATTCGTGCTCTTTTGTTCATCTTGGTCTTACACATTGTTCTCCACAATATACGTCATTGCATCTAGTCAGTGATTATATCTAAAAGTGATGAGACCATAATTTATGGACGACCTTTGAGCGACGCTAAAGTGACCTTGAGAATGTCCGCCTGCTTACTGGGGCTGAATGAGGTTTATAAAGAAGTATGGAGAATAAGGATTATGATTTACAGTTGATGGTAAGGGTTAGGGTTTAGATTTATGGTTTTCATCACGAACTGACATTATCCAAAATGCCAAAACGCTATTTAGACAAATAAGTGAGTGAATTTCGCGCTCAAATCCAGGACCTGTTATCCTAAATCTGATTGGTTCGTCCATAAATTATAGTCTCGCTCAAAATTTTCATAAGTATTTGGTTGGATGAACACCATCATTTGTTGCTTGTTGAACGATGAATCATACGATATTTTTGATTTATGGACAGAAAACAAAGTGACTTAACTGGCGTTTTATGACATCTGTTTTTGCACGTCTACTCACTTTTGGATGCGCTTACTGCCTAAAATCAAGTCAGGCGAACAACAATGGTGAAATCGAGGCGGGCATTCTTTGAAGAAATTTGACGGAATTCTTGGCGGAGATGCATCAGAATGTTGCCTCTTTCGTCTGCCACAGGGAGATTGTGAATGCTTTCTTAAATCTCTCTCTTGGTGAGCATTGTTTCGGAATTTTGATCTCAGCAAAAGTAGCCCACTTTTATCCTAAGTATCTGCGTTCGCTAATACTTTCATACGAAGGTCAACTTCCAAGCAGTTCAACTAATTTAGGAGGTTGATTTGTGTGTAATAAGTCACTTAATTTCGAAAATTTAAACCACGACTTACAAAATTATTGACATTACCAGAATTTTAGTTGTTGTTGTCTCCATAAAGTATCACAGTCATAGATTGAATCCTAAAATGGAATAAGAATTATTAGTTAGTCCTGGGTTCCCCTTAAATTATTTACCGATAATACGTACAAACATTGAATGAGACTTACTGTTGTGTATGATAAAACAAATCGCTTCTGTTAGAAAATTCTGATAGCAGTCAGATTCGCAGGTTGTTACGTACATGTCTTTTCCTTCTGGAATAACGGCTATTCAATTTTTCTTTCATGTCATTAAAGAATCTTTGCAAGATCTTCAGAGAGAACGGATGATTAAAATTCCAAATCTACTGAGCTTAATGAATAAAGACCATCAAATACAATTTTACTCCCCAAACTTTAGCAAACTCTACGCTTGTGAATATTTCTTTCGATGATATCCCCAAAGAGTGTAAACCTGGCACCCAGTTATGGCTGTATAACACGCTGGAACAAATAAAATAAGTGTTTCCGATCTGTCGATCGCCAGTTTGGTGGCTTTTGCCATCTGAAATGAGAATAAATTAATAAACAAATCCGTGGCCCTATGGGTTTTTGTCTGATGTTTTCACCTTAAAGACATGTATCCAGTTTACGGTAACATGTCGGATTCTAGCTTCCTTGATATACCATCATTGTCTCATATACATTAGTAATATTTGGGCAAGACCGTTCTAGCTAGTAATTACAGTTTTACAACGATAGATGGAAGTTCTAACGATGACACTGTTAAACTATTACAGAACGTTTCTGACCTATTTAAGCTCTGGCGGCCAGTAGTATTATCAGCCCTCACATTTAGAGTGTGGTTCATACCTAAGTACCCGGAGAATGGGTTGACATTATATAATATCAGCCGATTTGTTCAAAAACATACATTGCTAAATCTTCATCAATTAGACCCACAAGTTGATGCTTCATGGTTAAGGAGTCACGAATTTTAGAGAAGATACAATGGAGAGAGTTGGTTGTATGCCCTCACTCTACCTGAGCTGTTTGTATATAGGGCTTTTAGGATGTTAATATACTTCTCAGGCACACCCTTCTTCAATAGACAATCCCAGAGAACAGTCCTGTCCAACGAATCGAAGGCAGCCCTGATGTCAAGAAACACTACGATTGTTGGCCTTTGATAAGTATGGCAATGTTCTAACATTTGGCGGAGGGTGAAGATATGATCAATACATCCTCGACCAGAACGAAACCCAGTCTGCTCCTCGCGAGTCAATCTTTCTCGTGTTTTGAACAGCCTACGAAGTATGACGGAAGCCAATAGCTTGGACGCAATCGGAAGTAGACTTATCCCCCGATAGTTGTTACAGGAACGACGTGAACCCTTTTTAAAGATAGGGACAACTATCGACTCATTAGATGACGTTTGTACACTAGCTAGCTCCCACATCTTTGTAAACAACGTCGTCAGTTCCCTAGAAAGTCACCACTATCTTTAAAAAGAGCCGGAGGTAAGTCATCTGGGCCAGGTGATTTGTAGCGCTTCAAGAGTTGGAGTTCCTTGCGAACTTTCGCCTCATTTGGTGGATCAATCGTCACCGGCCATGGAGTGCAGGACAGTCTGACCGATGTTGCCGGAGCAGCAGGCCATTTGAACTGCCAACCCTATCTGTTGTTCGACCTGCATAAGTGTGCGAACGTTGAAGGCAGCCAGTTAGGATGGTGCACGTGGTTTCAGAAAGACCGTTTCAGTATTCGTATTTGGTGGTAGCATACAAATTTCAACCAGGCAGTGACTCGAGAACGTTTAGATAGAACCGAGTTTCCACCATAAGCGAGCTGCTGCATAAGTCGAAAAATAAGGATATATAAAGTGGGAATGAAAGAGAGTGAATAAATGACGTAGTAAATAATAACAATGTGAATTGTTTGGTTATTAATCGAAGCGTGAATAGTTTTCAGCAAATATCGTCAATTTCATTTTACTTATGTGAGGGTTGTGATACTGCCCGGGCCCCCTGACTGAAGCAGGTGGCTTTCTTAGGGAGCCACGCCCCGAGACATTGACCTAAAATTCTAACCCACAATGCAGTGGAGCATCGTAAGGAAATGCAATCCCTTGGTAGCCGGTGATCAACAATTGGTTCATACGCCATTTGTTCACTCAGGATACTGGAGCCCATGTGCACCCTTGGTTTGGGATCCGGTATTCGAACTGCATTGTCTAGGTTTATAACGAAAAGGCTGTTCTTTTGAGAATTCGGGTTTAAGAATTATAAATCGGTGTTAATAGACTCCATTTTTACATATATAATAAAATTTAACAAACAGGATGAATCGTTATATTTTTTAACAGGTGTGACAGTTTTCCGAACATTCGATTATTCAAGTTGGGATTCTTATCAGTCCTATATAGTCCTTCAGAATCCTGTTGAATCTAGTGTATCTGACTGGGACTTAGGCATCAGAATCCAATAAGATGCTTTACAAGTGTGGTCTTAATACGTTTGTTCACTGTGTCAATAATTTGCGCTACTCCGACCTAAATATTGTTAAAGAAACTTCTTTATCCTCCCAATTTTTCTGCCCGCTAAATAGAGTAAACACAACAGTTTTGGAGATTAAGCTTTTTGATGTTAGTGCAGTGTAATCATTTAAAAAAACATTAAGTTTGTCAGTTGTTTTTCAATGGGAAATAATTAGACTATATGAAAATAAAAATCATTGTTAAAATATACTGAAATCCCGTAAAATATCTTCAGCAGTCTGAACAATGGTTTGCTGAAGTAGAATTGTAACCTAATTGATATTGATTTACTTCTTATAAGTTTAAGTTGGAGATCGCATATTCTCAACAGGCTTAAATTATAGTTTAGACGCTGTTCTACAAAGATTGTCCGGCGTTGTAGGTCTGACTCAGTTCGTACACCGTTGCTAGTATAAAAGAGTTTCAACTAAATCGTTTGATAATTCTACAATCAGTTATAGAGATATGTTTTCACTTATGCAAATGGAAATAATTAAAGCATTTTCGTCTCTCGATTTGAAAACTTGTACAAATTAATTACCCATACGATAAACCCCAACGTAATTTTTTTACTCCTTTCTATGAAAAATGTCACAGATCTTGTTTGTCCGTGCCATTACCGATCTGTCTGAAAGATACACCATTCTATGTGGAGATCATTAGAACGTACGGATTAGATTTTGACTGGAATGAAGCTGAGGATGAGTGGATTGAAGTACTTTATCCTTCCTTATGTGTATTATGCAAACAATGTGGTTTGCACTAAACTTACATCATTGTTTAATTCGTTGGACAGATTTTTCAGTCATATTCGTGTTATCCTCGAACACTGTTCTCATGCACTTCTATTTTTCGATTGCATATTTTTCAAGATATCGCTGTGTAATTTCTTGATTCGATGAATTTGTATATATTTAGGATAAACCTTCTTGTAAGTATGCATGAATATATAGTGTTTTGTCTCCTTAATTTTACATTTACTTTCACTGATTTCATATTGTTTTTCGTAACTGTACTTAATTTGATTTAATACATTCCAATTTAGTAAATATTATGACTGCTAGTAGACATTTTTTCACATTTGTGCGTTCGTTGCTGTCGCATTAAAGTATTTCACTTCATTACGAGTCACGTGATCCGTGTTGACATTTCAGACAGTTTACATACTTTCCAATCTAGATGCTAATAATGTTTTCATCGAAAACTATCCAGTTATGACTGCAACATGTGATTCCTAATACTAAGTTATATGCATTTGTATATTTATATATTTTCAAAGCTCTATCTACAAGTCACAGATTTTCAGTAGTTTTCACTGATTATATATTAATTGTGATTATTATGAATCGCTTCCAAATGTCCTGTTTCGGCTGAGATGGGGAGAGTCCGCTCTCCCTCTCGAAATTCTCTCAAATAGCCACGCATATACAGCCACTTCCAAGGAAGTTTTACTCACTGCTTTCTCGTGGCGGCGGTGTTTACGAAGTTGAGAGGACGAGAAACGAATTCCTGGTGCTGTAACCAGGTCGATGAACTGTTAGGTTTGAAGTTTCACAAGTTGTGCCATTAGCCTTCTTAATAACCACAATGGGTACTGCCCAGGCAGAATAAGAAACAAGTGTAATAACTCCCTGTAGTTGAAGGTGGTTAAGTTCTCCATCAACTTTCGATAATGCTGCGTACGGCACTGGTCTCTTCGGACGGAAGACAGGTTTAGCTCCAGGTTTCAACCGAAGTGTTGCTTTCATAGCAGTGCACTGATCCAATACAGGCTGAAAAATGGTTGAAAACTCCGTCATTAGTTCTTTCGAATATGCTTCATGTTCATGAGGTTGTTTCACCAGATGGCATACGGTGCTTAACGGAACGTCAGCTAAATGTAGCCGGTCAAACCAGTCTAACCCAAGTAGATTAAGATCAGCTGGTGTGATGTAACATAACTCGGTAAACGTCGAATCATGAAAAGACACTTTACAATCTAGTTGTCCCAACAAACGTAAGTAATTACCACATGCGGTTCGCGGTTTTTGTGTTGTCGGCACCAGGCGTGGTCTGTCCATTCTGATCCAATATTTTCGTGAGACAATTGTTACATCAGATGCAGTGTCTATTTGCAATCTAAGAGGGTGCCCATTAATATTAAGGGTAATAAATTTCCTCTCAACTGGGGTTGAGTTCTCAAAACTTGCTATTAGACTCAACGAATTCGTGTTGGATCTAGGCGTAGGTTTTCTGATACCTCTGGAGCTGCTCGGCTTCTTTTTTGACAAAAACCATCTTTATGACCCACCGCATTACATTTCCTGCACCGATGTTGCTTATATGAACAGTATCGAACAAAATGCCATGCACCGCAGTGTCAGCATGGAGCAGGAGGATTTGTTTTTGTCTGTCGACCTGAAATAGATGTCGCTGGGGCAGATTTATGCGAGTTGCGTGGTTGTTGGTCTACATGAACGATTTGAACCACCACACTGGACCATCGTAATGTCACGCTGTAGATTGATTAGACGTTGATATTCGTTTGCAATATCATTAAGGGTTAGTTTTGGGTCTTGGTCCAATCGACTTAACAAACGTGTTCTAATGTCACTGAACTTCTGCGACTGAAGGCTGTAGATGAGAATGAGTGCTTTAAATTGGTCTTCAGTAAGCGACTTCAACCGGAAGCGTTCACATTCTCGGTTGACGATACCCACATGTGTCAGAAAATCATCATCTTCGTTCATAGTGAGCTTCAAACATCGATAGCGCGCATTGAATAGTGAGGAGTTGTCTCCGAATTATTGGCTCAATGACTGGATAGTGTCCGAGAATGAACGATCGCGTGGGTTTAGAGGCAGGATTAGGTTGCAATACCTGTCTAGTTCACTAGGACCCAACTTTCGAAGCAGCAAGCGGACCTTCCAAGCATCATCCTGGTTGGCAATGTCAAATTTGAATAAGTCTTCGTAACGTCGAAACCACATATCAAACGTGACATTGGATTCTGGATCGTAATGAAACTCGGAGATAATGTTAGCGATACCATCAACTGATGGTGCAGTGGTAGTAGGATTAGAACTGCTTGGTTGGGTATTAGACGTAAGCTTTACATCTGCTAACATCTGGATAAGTTTCATCTGCTGCTCGAGTAATAATTCAAGTTTAGAAGGATCCATGTTTCCGAAATCACCGTCGCCAAATTGTTAAGTTTGAAGCTTCACGAGTTCACTTAACTGCGAACGAGAACAATACTCAGTGACCAAAGACCAGTGATCTAACTATTGACGCGTCCCAGCCCCGCTATCTAGAAGGAGAATTCCAGGCTTGGTATGAAAAATATATTCTGCAAACAGCCAGAAAACGAGCGAGCAAGCACTCAAACACAATTTAAAACGTATATATATATATATATATTGTCATAGTAAAATGTTTTTTAAACATGACTCATTAAGTTCATCAATCGACAGGCATTCAAATATTTAATCGATATGATAAAATTACAAATATGAATTTTGGGAATATACCATCCGAACATGAACATAGAAGGTTCACCTAGGGGAGTTGGAAAACCGTGATTTCAAACCAATGGAGCACATGAACTCCAGAGTCCTGAAAGAAAAATGGCGTACGAACCTATTGTTCGTCACCGGCTATCATGAGATCGCGTATCCTAACGTTGCTCCACTACCTTGTAGATTGAACCTCTAGGTCAAAGGCTCCTAAGGAAATCACCTGCTTCAGTCTGGTCACCCGGGCAGTATCACAGCCTATACAATAATCAGGTGACTTGTGTGGTTCATATGTATTCGGTGCCCTTTTGAACCAATATTTATGTGTTCAAATAAATAAGTAAAGTTTGTATGAATTGGATACTGAAGTACACTTTCATTTTTTACAGAACGAGATGTTACTTATCTACCTAGCCAGATTCGCTAGTAGCTACTTGAAGCCTTTTTTTCTACAGTCACAAACATTATTTGCATTCTCGTTGATATTATTATTTAGGTCGTTATTTAAACACATACATTGAGCTTACGGTTTTGGTCGACTAACTGACTACGTTTAAAATAGGGTGAATACATTTGTTTTTCACATTTCCTAGAATAAAATAAAAAGGCAATAAAGTGAATAAAATTGTAAGTTACACCAAGAATTGAGTGGTTCCTAATTACTCCTATTCTCCTAACATTGATCAGATGCTCTAGAATAACTAAGTTAACTACGATAATGCAATGAAAAGACGAAGTTTATCAGAATTATGTGATATATTTGTGCAATACATTTCGAACAACCTGATCACACATATACTTGTTAAGACATTTTTATATGAAAATTAAAAGGTCAACTAGACAGAATAAAGGTAAACTGTAACAAAATAAAAAAATAATAAATTACACAAAATCAATGTGATCACCACTCTGGATAATAAATCAGTATTACCAGAGTGGGTTAAGGTTAAGGACAAATTGTTTTTGAACGCATGAAGAGGGTTTGAGTTTCCGTATAGCCGAGGCTTTACTAAACCCTAGTTTATGTCCTCTAAGGCTTTTGTATAACACTACAAATGCTGATTTGATGTCAAACTTATGACCAGTCTCAATCAAATGTTTTGCAATAGAGGATGATATCTATCTATCCAGTGATCTTATTTGACCATTGTAATTCATTTGTCTGTGCAGCCATTTTGGTATTTGTTCACCCACCCTTGATTGCACATCACGATTGCTCCTCCCCATATACGCGTTCCGCACATACGTGTAAATTGATAGACACAATAGGATGTGACACAATCGCTTACGTGTTGTTTGGACTTTTGGTGAGACAGACTTTGTCTTTTCAATAATGACAGGTTGGGGTGCATAAAATATTCGGTTGATAGCTAATTTAAGTCTGCGTTTCAACATGAGACTATTTGTGTCGCCTCTAAATGGTAACATAATGTAAATTAGCTTTTTGGGTGCCAGAGGTGTCATACATCTAATCATATTGCAACCCTTCCAGCGGTTTATGAACTTCAATGAATAACCATTATTCATCAACGTATCATTCAAGAGCTTCGTCTCTACTCAAATAGTATAGAATAGATCTCAAGGAAGATAAAATGTTAGTCAATTTCCTTTCACTCATCTATAAATGTCCATATAATCTTTGAAAAAACCTGACTTTTCAAAAGAAACCTATTGCAATAATGTATGAAAATCTTGAATAACCATTATTCGATCGTCTAAAAAGCAGCAACAGTGAATGGAGAGTGAAAATGAATACATCTCCATGAAACGACCTAAGTTTGTGATTTCATTCTTGAAATTCAAAAATCACCAGCAAATATTGCTTTATATTTAATTTTGTGATCGTTTAGTCACTGAAATTAATATACCGAATCTTTGATGAGAGCTGAAACTTTTCAAAATGCTCATTCTAGGAGGTTAGAGCTGTCCCTATTGATTATAATTCTATGAATGAACTCTGTGTGGGATTTGAGAGTTCTCAATATATTGCTCAGCTGCCATAACTAACTATTATCAAGGTTGTATAAATCCCCATTTAAATAATACTAATCCTGGTTCTCGTAAAAATAATAGTATTAATTCAACGAATTGAAAAGCAGTACATAAATGTGGCTACGGGCTTGATAAATTATTAGAATGTAGACTCGCTGAAATCATACCCATCTGGTAATGCCAAACTCTTCGAATCTGGCAAGATGGATTTATTTATCGCATCAGTACTCATTTCGCTACCTGTTATAATAAACCTCTTTATTTAGATTTGACTATTAATCTTGATATTAACGAAGAATAAATACATCGTTTTTTATTTACGACTAAGTAATTCGTTTCACATTCAAAAATAATGATATGCGTTTATTTATCTTCGGTATTTGTAGCATCGAATCCACTATTTCAGGGAAATGATTTAATAGATTCAAATCTTTTGACAGAACATAATTAAATTTCTATGTCAAGTATTACGGGACGTAAACTTCCTATCTGCCGTGGTTGTATTTATTAGATCAACATGATAATTATTCACTTATGACTTGTGAAATTTCAGTCAGTGATTATGGTCTATATATGTTGATCACTTCTGGTCTTTATTGGTCACCTATCTAAGACTAGTTCCTGTTGAGATCGCTGAA